ATTGAATGAGTTCGACACGAACTGGTAAATCCAACTTTCTTTGATACTTGGTGAAGTATGGAAAAATCAATCATATGCTCAATCCTGCTCAAAAAGTATCCGAATTTTGTTGTTTGTTAACTACTCCTTAAGTAATAGATCTTTTTCAAAAAAAACATATGGTACAAATTTGAGCGCCGTCTGTCAATAAGTTTGTTTACAGCAGCTGTTAATGTGAGACTACCTCAAGTGCATTTAGCGATTTTCACTATGGAAAATTCTTGTTGTACGCGATTTTTTGACCAAACACGCCACCACTACTCTCCTCTTCACCACTCAAATTGCCCCTTCGTGGTAAGCGTTTTGAGTCGATTGAATCGGTAAAAGAGAATTCGCTGAAGGAACTAAAAGCCGTACCTTCACGGGCCTATGAAAAGTGTATGGAAGATTGGATTAAGCGTTGGCATATGTGTATCGCTTCAGAAGGAGCATATTTTGAAGGAGATAAAATAAATTTGGAATAAAATTTAAATTTGTGTGTTTTATTTACAAAATCCGAGTACTTTTTGAGCAGAAGGTAGTACATTATAAGAAGTGAATAATAAACAATTAAATGCTGATTAAATTTGTGATGGCAGTAAAGAACAATTTTTTAAAAACGTTGAATTATATTATTCTATATCCATATATATTTAGCTTTATTTGTTATTATTTCTTACGTTATGTCTAGAGAAAGTATCGCATTCAAACTGAAACCGAGATTAAGGCTATTGATGAGCCTTGTAATATTCTTTGGTTCAAGTTTCAAGACTTTTTCTATATGTGATCTATGAAAAATGACACAAAGATAGTGACCACATCATTATTTAAGATTACTCCTCATTACTTTATACTCTGCGATTGCATGTTTATAAAAAAATGTGTTTATGGCAATAGCCAGAGAGATATTCATTATATTTGTAATGTCCTAGCGTGCCAGTCTCTGAAACCTTACTTTATGAGTTTTTGACATCAATATGCTTGGTTACTGATATAACCAAATACAAATCTGCTCGGTTATCATTAAAATGCTGTGATTTTCTATCTGAAATTGTGATTCCAAATTTCGCGTAGTTAGGGACATTTAGGCTCTAAACTGCTTGGTTGTTATCATCACTAATAGTGCACTAATATATTATCGTCTGCCACAAATTTAAAAGGAACAGTAAAACGAAATGAATTTCTTAAAGAAGGGCATGAAAACAATTAAGGTGGATATTTCACCACTCCTTACTTGATGCCTATCACACTCAGTCAAAGGACTGAATAAAGCAATTTGTGTAAATATGTCAGTGAAATTGTATACGTCATTGTTGAAAACCATGAGACACAAGTTTCTGTGTATGAAAAAAGCCAGAAGTCTGAAAGTAAAATTATAGTCCGTCTGTTCTGACAAAGGCTGGTTTTGTAAACAGTTTATACCAGTAATGTAAAGCAATGTTTTTATAACATATAAAGAAATAGTTATGTTTCAAAAACAAATTAATGATTTTTCATATGAAGAAAGTGATCTATCGATGTTATTAGAAAGTCATAGCCGAAATCGAGAAATTACGGATATCTTTGTAAACATAAAATAAATTTTTAATCATTAATTAACATTAATTATATATATCCTTAGATGAAACCATCACGTTACTATTTCATGATGCTTTTTTGAAAAAAAAAACTCCGTAAATACTCTTTGCTTATGATTTTCGGCCACCAAGTTCTTATGACGTTCCTATCTGTTACTGTGAAGAAATATCTGCAACTTCTTTAAGTAGCATTCTTTAAGAACCAAGTCCACGATTCACGCAGTAGTACTGACTTGACCAAAACATTAAACTCTTCAATATTTGTAACTGTTTTCACAAATATACTTTAAAGAAATAACACAAATGTATGAATACGCCAATAGTTACAACTACCCAAGAACTGAAGACATTTTCACTACACAGGCCATTAATCATTCTAATTTATCATCGGAACAATATGTATATCTGCTAATGCGATCGATGACTGGAAATCTATTCAGACTAAAAATATAAACTAAGAGTTCATTTAAAGAATTAAAACATAGCAGTATCACGAAAAGGAATACTGTAGAAAGTACTCAAATGAACAGAAAGAATGAACTGTCATAGCACCTCTCGATTCCTTAGTAATAAATTTTAAATCAAAATGATCCTTATTTTGAGTCATTGAATTCGCCATAACTGCATAGGTGGAAATGACATATTATCTTAGTGCCATCGACAGAAATATGTACCAGTCAGATAAAAGGTCACAGTTTTTTAGTTATAAAAACATCCTACTGCTCTTTTAATTGGTTCTTAGTAAATAAACATATATAGTATTATAATTGTTGAGGCATATAGCAGCTAAACTGATAAAGGTAGCTTAATAATAGTTATAAATAGTTACAAATTTAGGTAAACATTCTAATATCTCTCCGTCATTTACAGTTTCGTATGTAAATGGCAGACGTAGTCACATTCGAAAGTCATATTTAATAAAAGAAACTTATTTTATGAGTAAATAATAAATATTTAATCAAATCCAACAACTTCTTAGTGTTAGGATACAGTATACTAATTAAACATTTTTTTAAGATTAAAAATATATATACCAAAATTAATATAAAAAAAACAATTCACAGCGCAAATATAATAACTGTCGTTACTACTTAAAAAAATATTCACAGGTGACGTGAAATTAAATTCCATTTTTCTCTTTTTTCATTGCCTCCGTAGTTATACTAATGCATAGGTGCATTCTCTATTTTCATTGCCTCCGTAATAATACTAATGCATTGATGCATAACCCGGGCTTGCGCTGGTTCACTTAAGGTAGCTATTACAGACATTAAGTATTGTCCAAATGCATAAACTTCATTATTTTCTACTCTCCTCTTCATTCGGGATTTGCAAAATGCCTTATATTTTTCCACCATACGCAATATACCCACATCCGACTCATCAACCGGTCTTCCTTTGCTTCGTGTTACACGTTTATCAGTCGGTGTTTCCTGCGTTTCAACTGTTGCTGATTCCAAAATTGGTAATAATGCGGATGGTAATGGTGGTGGTTGCAACCTTTCAGGAACTGAGGGAGGAACATTTGTTGATGATTTGGCAGAAGCAGCACTTTTTCTATTTCTAATTTAAAAAAACTGTTAAGGCCATAAAAATAATGAAAATAACCTTACTGACGGTATTTTATTGAAGTTACATCTTAGAAACAGCAAGCTATTGTAAAGTGGCCATGACTTAATTTTTTGTTCCTTATTCTCCGAGTTATCTTTGATTATTCGACTTTCCCGGGCAAATCGATCATTTAAGCATTGCCACCGTCTCATTACATCAATTGCTATAAGTTAACAATTTAACTCGTAAATTATTTCATAAATTTGTCACAATAAATTGTTGCTTACGACTAATGTCCAACTCATTTGCAATTTTTTCCCACACCGAACGCTTTTTGTCCAAGTCCTCAAAGTCCTTGTGCCTTTCATTGTATAGTATAGGATATTTTCTTACCTTTTTAATGAGTTCCTCGTTCAACATTATACTTTTGATTATATGGCCTTACATATAATTTTTATAATACTCCATTAAACGCCATGGCGTAACGTGCAAATTCTTAGAATTTAAATTCAAATCCCAACCGTATAAATTTTTAGCGCAAATTTTGTATCAGTTTATTTGCTTAGACAATTTGCGTAGACAAATTAATCTTCAACAGAATATGTTTATGATTACCACAAAAACTCCAATTTATGAACCATTAACGTTTCCACAGTTTAAGTTATAAAGAATCAACAAATTCTTACACTTATACCACAACGCTTATTAAATCTTTCGCTAAATGCCGCAAAAATGAACACTACACATACTTTCATGACACTATTTACGAAGTGTTGGAAAATGTTCGGACGTCGTCAACAGCTGTTAAATTATTTGACAGCAATAATAGGCCTATTCTTTTCACAAAATATCACAAAAGAACATCGCTTATATTATGTTTCCACTGCTTACTTAGTAAGTTACTTTTTGTCTTTCTAAGTGTATTTTTTTTAGACTTCAACGATGTTAACGACGCTGACAGTAACGGTGAGGATGGCTATCAGAAATTAACATGAAGGGTACCATGTAACCTGTTTTACTGTTTTAATTGAAGAAGAATTTCTTCCCACAGTTCTACGATCACACACGCATTCAAGATAATTTTTTTTGTTTTATCTTAAATTAATAAGATATTAAATAAATATTTTCTATTAAATAATATATGATATTTTATAATGATACGAAATATATATTCGACACATGAACTTTTTTTATATATTTATATATAAATTATTTGCTTTATTTATAAAAAACAAATGTTTAAAAAAATTCCTTCGTCTTATTTGTTTCGATTTTTTGATTGTTTACGTATAAATTTTATTTCATGTGTGAAATATGTTAAATTTCGATCATTTCCAATGTTGCAATTTTTATTTTAGTAAAAAATTGTTTAATATATTCTAAGGTAAGAGAAGAAGCACGGAAGCTCTTTGTATAGTTAATGAAATTTGCTTAATAAAGCATTATATAAACGATGCTACATGTATATACTCCAAGTATGCAGACCCAGTATGCGTTTTGCTATACACTTTCAAACAAAGTTTAATTTTACCACATACATGTACCACGACATACTTGGTTTGCATACATGTAGCATCGGCTATATCCGGGTTGTCCAGACCATATGCGATCGCAGGCCAATACAAATCACTGTACAGAGTGGAGGACCGCAGAAACAATTACATACGATCATAGTTGTTTACGACAAAAATAAAAATTCGGTTATAATGTTAACATTAGCTGCGGGTCGTGCTTTGAACAACCCTGGTCTATATCACGCCTAAGTCGCACTTACTTATTAACGTGGTATTTGAATAAGTTCACTATTCCATTTGCTGTAAGAAGAACATTTTACAACACTGAACACGTATTTTTATAAACTGTCAATTTTGACAACTCGCAAAGAGAAGTATTCTGCGTTAAATATATATCCAAAACAATGGATTTTATTTATAAATAAAGAACAACGTGAGCTGAAAAAATCGCAAAAACTACCAAGCAAATTTGGCATAAAATATAATTTAATAATAGAACAAAACCGATTTCTTTTTTATGTATGTTCGATGTCAACGTTGAACCAAATTGTATTTATGCGAACTTTTGAAAATATTTAAAAAAACCTTTTAAGTGCAACAGGTTAATAAATTATTAACGAAATCATGTCCATTTTGCGTCATTGTGGTGTAGTGCTTTCGCGCTCCTATAAATTACCATTATATGGTGCTATTTGTCGGCAAGCGCAGTCTTCACTATTGCAGCCACAAGCATTGGCAGCTGTAAAAACCGTCGATGTCCGCGGTCACAAGCGCTTCGGCCATGAAAAGCAGAAAACTCCTGGATTTACTATATTTTTCCATGCTACTGTAATGACTGTATTATTTCTATCATTAATGGACTACAAAAGGTAAATGTGTACTTTTATAGTATATTAAAAAATAATAAAGTTTTCTTGCAATTATTGCGGTTTCGTACTATTAGAATCAAGCGTTACTTCCTTAAAAGGGTCGATACAGAAGAGGCACATCCTAACCAAGATATACGGTATGAATTTGTTAACGAAAATTCTAAATTAACTGATAATATGGAGAAAAGTGAAGACGAAGAAGAGGAGGATAAATCAAATGATAAAATAGGTTTTCGCGATCGCAAGGTAAAGCCCATATGTCCACATTAACTTTTCACTTAAACATAGTTCTTAATTTTGTTCATATAATTTTTTTTAATTTATTTATCGTTTTTATTTTTTTTAAACATAATTGTTAAGATCATCGAATATGAAAACCGTATACGCCAATACTCAACGCCAGACAAAATTTTTCGTTACTTTGCCACGGTACGATTAGTTTCAGAATCAGGAACGGAAATTCGTATGACTCCCGATGACTTCCTACGCTCTATTTATCCAGGCTTAAAACAACCTGAAGGTTAAGAAATAACTTTTAAAGTAAATTTTTGATACTAAGGTCCCTAATTCACTAATAAATACTGCCACCGAGTATATAATCAGTTGACTTAAAACTATATTAAAACGTAAAACCAGTTACAGAATATAAGAGTTCTGCAATAACCTTAATGTACTTACCAAAAGCTTTGCAGAGTCCACATCTTCGTTAACCACAACTGACGCTTTTTAAACATAATTTTCAGGGAACCTAAGTGCGTTTGAGAAGGTTTTATTTAGTTTTTGCCAGTCTAACTTAATCTAAGACGAATTTAAGAGTATAAAACACATTTATAAAGGCCCACTTAATAGTGACGTTGCTTATACTATCTGACAACAATAAAATGGAATAAAGTTAAAATTTAATATAAAACTAAAGTTTCTTAACCCAAACCAAAAAACGCACTTGTAAGCAAAGAGAAAGATTGGCTTCACTCAATTCATTTTTTTTTCCTTTTTTTTTTTGAATTTTAATTTCCATTTTTTTCGTCTTTTACTTTGCCTACCTTTGTTTCAATTTTTTTCATTCTTTTTGTAAACATTAACTAAATCTAATATTTATGCAAGCATTTATTATTAACAACTTCGTCTCCTATGCATGTCTCCGTTCAAATAAGATAATTGAATACGAAAATCGCATTAGACAATTTTCGACACCAGACAAAGTATTTCGATACTTTGCCACAATTCAAATTCCAACCGCCGATGAACGCTATGAAATTTTCATGACACCAACTGATTTTCTCACTAGCATGACACCCGGAATGAAGCAACCAGAGGGTATGTCTGTCTAGCATAACAACCCCATTTATTTCTACTAACATAAATACAATAAAAAAAACAAAGCACTAATTTTTTTTCTCTTATAGGTTTGGGCCTTGATCAGTATCGGCGGTACGATCCAAAGGTATGAAAAGAAAATAAAATAATTTATATGTGAGAGTAGTTGTGAGTTTACTTTTCAAATGTTTCTGTTTTTCCAAAATGCTTATGTGAATAAAATAATTTATTGTTATTGTTAAATTCATTGTTCATTATTTAAAACTGAATTTGTGAACAGATTCTGGTTTAAATAAGAGCCTTATGTGGTTCCAAATGCAGTTGTAATAATGCTCCATCATAACGAAGGAGTCAAACGAACTTCGAAAGGACGGCGATATATTTATATAGAGGGCCATTTGAAAATAAAAATAAAAACCAGGGTTCGTATTTGCTCACTTATGAGCAGGTCAGGCTCATGAGCAAGAGCTAATTCTTATGTGAGCCCAAAATTGGCTGATAAGCGTGAGTCCAAAATTGGCTCATATTGAAGAGCTGCTCACCAGCGTGAGCCTTCAAGTTGCTCATATTGAAGAGCCGCTCATGAGGTCTCACGAGCCGAGAGCTCACGAGCTCAACTGTTTAATAAAAAGCGATTTATTAGTTTATTTGCTTTATTTATTTTTATAAACGTTATATGTGAAAATATATAATTTGAAATTAACTTAGCTTATTATTATTTAGGTATATTAAAACAATATAATGAAACAATAATTTGAATTTGAAAAACAAATTTATAAAATATTATTATTTTCCACAAATAAACAATACAAATATATTTATTGTTTATTTTAAGAACTTTGATTATTTCCATATTATAGTTAGTTCAAGATTATTAATATTTTAAATCTTTTTTAATGATATGTTTTCACAAAAAAAAAATAATAAAATCTTAAATTGGGCGTATGAGATCTCATGAGCTGCAGCTCATACTCTTGCTCACGAGCGTGAACCCATTTATAACTTAATGACGGCTCTTGCTCGTGAGCGTGAGCTCTGTAGTTGGGCGCGCTCGTGAGAGTGAGCTCTGTAGTTGGGCTCGCTCGTGAGCGTGAGCCATCGTATGAAAAGAGTTTTTTGCCGGCTCATGAGCCGTGAGCAGAATGAGTCAAAATGAGCCGCTCATGGGTACGCAAATACAAACTCTGATAAAAACTAATTCACAATTTTTTATTTTATTCACATAAGCGATTTTAAAAAACTGGACATAATTTATATTTTTTGTATATATAAATGCTGTTGTTTTTTTGATTAATGAAGTCATTTTATTGACGTAATTATTATGCCTTTATTGAAAACATGATTGTATTGTATTGTAATTTTCGCGTTGTTTCAAACCTAACATAATGTAGGAAGGTATCTTTGATACCCTTCCATAAAGATCTTCTGCAGAAGTGACGAAGCATCTTTCAAACAAAATCAATTTTGAGCTAACTAAATTCTTAACCCATTCAAAAGCATATTGAACATTAAATAAAAAGACATTTGTTTTACTAAATGTATGTATGAGTTTTAAAGATATACGATGCGTTTTACTGAGGGTTTCTTGTGGTTTAGAATACTTTTACATCTTATATTTCAGTAAATATTTAAAATCAACTTCCTTACTTATATGATTTGGTTTTTTTTCTTTTTAAACAAACGCAATTTAAAATTAGTTTCTGCAATTGAAGACTTCATATAGGTTCCAGAAACGCGTTGACCTACGCCTCAAAGATCATATTATTACACCTGGAGATGTATGTATCAGAAAATAAGAAAGGAATTTCAAATACAAATACATGTTTTAGGATTTAGTTCGGGGTTGATAGAGTGAAGACAAGAAGGATTGTTTGGGATAAGATATAGATGAGTGGGTGAGTGGATATTAATTGAACCTAACATAGATTGAAGTGGAGAAAAGAAGAAGAGAAGAAAATAGAAAAATATTAAGTAAAGGCTTGTATACGACTTTGTTGTTGTGCTACCGGTTTTTTGAATATAATATTGCATTTATAAGGAGAGCTGTTAGCTTTCATTTATACTTGATAATGGTAGCACTATTGAAATGGTTGTTGATGTATCTATGATACATAAATGAGTACCTTACAGCGAATGTGAATGATATATATTTGTTCGTAGTATTATGTTATAGTTCAACTTATTTATATACCATCAAAAATTGATGCCACAATATATTGTAACTAAAGCTAATGTAACACATAATGTATATGGGTACATTTTTTGTTATTATGGTCGTGTGCGAGTTAGGCTAAGTTGCATTCTAAATGAGGGAAATTCTAAGTTGTGTCGATAATGTATTGATGTGTCGATACGTGTTGATGAATGGCAAAATGTGTGCAGTGCAAAAAATCCCAAAAAATCTCCCATTTGGTTTAGCATCAACTTAGCCTAACTCGCACACGTCCTATAATGTCTTTAGCTGTCCATAACAAATATACTCAAATACTTTTTTATCTTAGTTATTACAATAATCAATATTTAACTATATGACATTTGAAGCGACATTTAATTTTTTATCATTAACTAGAATAGACATGGGCTTAGAGATTTTTATACTGTTCCCACATACTTTATACCCCAAATACAGTTTATTTTATTAAAAAATACAAAATAAATATTTAAATTAGTTCTTTCTTGTTTTTTAGTCGGTCGCTGAAGCTTTAAACCTTCAATTGGAAAAGAACAGCATATTTTATAAACTTGGCTCTTCCGGACTAATCACTTTCTCTGACTATATCTTTTTGTTGACTGTGCTTTCGAGTAAGTATGCTATATAAAGATTTTGTATTTACTTTTTTTTATATACACCCAACTCTTTTCTTTTTACACGGATTTGAAGTTACACGGTTGAAAAAAAAAATTTTTTTGGTAAAAATTTTTAATCAAGTACGGTCTCAAAATCACTGTCTTGTTTGACACTTGGCATTTTTTTACACGGTTTTTTTTTACACGGATTTCTGAGGAACGTATTTACAGTGTAAAAAAAGAGTTGGGTGTATTATATATGTGTACACTGAAATCTCTCTTAAACGAATTATTTTAAAGTGTTCGTTTAATGGACGTTTTAAGGTATCTGCTATGAATTTAAACTGTTTTAAATGATCAGCAAAATTCCATATTAGAATATGTTTTTGCCGTCAAATTATTTCGGTTTAACAACAAAAAATTTTAATAATTGTTAAATATACATTATCACTGAATATTATTAGAATATAATATACGATATATATTTGCAATCGTAAAATATTAATTCACAAACCCAAGCTTTTAATTAAGATCGAACAATATTTTTTAGAAAGTCGACGAAATAATGCCCAATGTAGACAATCCATAATTAAGTTAAGACTTTAATCCATAATTAAGTTCATTGCTTCGTACTGCTTATATAAATAGCTGGGTATAAGTCTACAGCTACGTACCGGTCAGAAATTTTATCAAAATTTCATCATTCCCCTGAACACATATGACAATCCAATTACTATTTTGTGTTTCTGCATTGCATCCTTTGAAGATAAATGGGACTTTATAGTTATGAACCAGTTACTAAGGATATAAATTCCACAGCTCTTGGAATCTGCGTACTATACCGTTTTATGTTATTTTTACCACTTACTTTATTTTCGTTTAATCAGTCGTTCCTTCAATACATTTGTCCTAATAATATATGCTAAATCGTATGTATTGTTCTGTTTGAAGGTAATACTGTAAAACTCAGTAAGTTATAATTATAATTTTTATGGCTTTCATATACCATAAATAACATATAATGTCAGTCTGATAGACTGTAAGAAATAATTTGAATATTCTATAAATCTGTAAAACTAAACAAGTTATAATTATAATTTTTATGGCTTTCATATAGATATAATATCATTCTAATAGACTTTAAGGAATGATTCGAATATTATTAAAGACTTGATTAATTTTTATCATTGTTGTTTTAAACCTTCGATGGGTTTTGTCAATCTCAGAGAAACCCAAACAAGCAAAATCCATACTCAAGCCATTATAGGTTATTATGAGAGATCATAAAATGCTAAGGAATGGGAATAACAGGTGGATTTCTGTTCAATAGTTTTGGTTTAGTTACAAAAATATTACCTCATTATGCGTTTGTCTAATTTTATAACTCTTTATAGTTCATTGAAATTATTCAGATCGTCTTTTATTTCCATATTTCGTTTTTTCTCTTTTATCATCGCTTCCTCAAAGAAAAGCATAGGTTCTCTTCATTGGTTAATGATCATAAACGCTTTTTTATTGCTTATGTTCGGCAATAGTTAGTCCAGCTTTTAGGGCCAAGATTCCAGTATTTTTTATATTGCTGTATGAATTTTCGGTTTAAAGTTTTATAGAATGAATTATGTCCACATTTCAGATTGTTTTGCCTAACCATTAGTAGCAATCAAACAAGATTATTTATATTTTGTATATATTTAAACAATGTATATTTCAAAACATCACATCAAAATTTTCCATTGGTTATAAGGTTTTTTTTTAAATACTCATAAACATGAACGCAAATACTTGCCCGTATAGATTATCTGTAAATATATTCGTTTAATGATTAGAGTAGCGTTAAGTTCCCATATTCACAAAATCGGTTAATTTTATTTTATTTTTGTTTTTTTTTTGTTGTTTTATAAAATTCCACTCATACATGTATTCCGTCCTGTCTCTTCCGCTCAAAAAAGTTAATAAACAATCAAAAATTTGGCCCTTAAAGTAGATGTGTATATAAATATATATATTAAATGGACCTCAAGAGAGAAAATCTACCTAGAAATCTTGCCCTTCTTGAGATCGTCATTAAATGTGTGCTCTATAAAATTTTAATATAAATATGCTTTATAGGTGCTCTTCTGTAAAAATAAATTTAATAAATTCTTTAAACTAACTACGAAGCTTCTGAGTTAAGAACCCAAAAAAAAAATAAATGCAATATTTCTTTTGTTAATAAACTAACTTAAAATCTTTTATATATAAAATCAGGTATAACACGAACTCGAATCTAAAATTTTATATTACTTGTTCCCCACATGTGTCTTTTAAGACACTTAAAGGATCCCTTTACTTCTTTAGAACAGCTTCTAGAAGTCAGAATAGAATAGGTATTTTTTTAACAAATTAGTCATCCTAGCTATACCAGATCTTAACAATCAAATCATCCCCAATTTTCGAAGTTCGTGGCAGAAGTAACTCTGTTTATCTGACAACTGAAGGCATGTATGTGCTTTCCACTTTCAAAGTGAGTTCGTACTTAAACTTAATGGATAAAAATTTGGCAAACTTTTGGCTTAACTTACGAATATTCAAGACTCTTCTTTATAAGCTATTCTTTAAGGTACTTGGGGTTTAATATAACTATATATATATGTATGTATGTATGTATGCATGCAGTGAAATACTGGTGAGATGATGAACAAACTATCCAAAATATGTTATATTTATATGAACGCGTATGTGAAGATATCATGAGTTTAAAAATATCGAAGGTATCACGAAATAGTTCTCTAATACGTTGGTTTCGTTATTGTGAACTTGCACCCGTCGAAGTAATCGTCTTCGTCAGTTCCACTTGGTCCGCGTTTCTCAGGTTTAAGTCTGCCTTTACCTCCTGTATTGATGACATTGTGTTTGATTCTATTGAAGTTGGTAGATCTTGTACAACGTCATAATATTTACTGAAATTGTAGTTGAAAAGTTCGAAATCTAGACGATAAATATCCAGCAATTGATCCAACGTCTTACGATTGATTTCGGAAAAATATCTTTAATCATGACAATTAAAGTTAATGTCGAAGATGAGTGGAAAATTACTTTGATATGAAAATATATTTACCTTTCAAGGAGTGCATCCGTTTTTATGCCAGATGCTTGATTGCCAATTTTGCGTAATTTATGTTTGGGTAATTTGCCTAGTAAAAGTGATTCTAAACCAGCCTGTCGTATTATATATTCGGAGTCCCTCTTGAAGGTTTCAACCTTACCGATAATTGTAAAATTAATACTACAAGGCGTACAAAAGCTGTAAATAGGTGCCCAATGCTCATCGAAGCGTTTCTTCTGCTTATGTTCGTTGATAAGAAACTTTAAAAATTCTTCAAAAGTTGGTCCAGATTTCGGGCGAAGGCCTGGTATTGCAGATTTTCGGTATTGGTGTATGACCTTTTGACCTAAAGTTTTATAGTATGGATTACGTCCACCTTCCAGTTTGTTGCGATATGCTGAAACAATGCGTTCAAATGGGTTACGTACAAAGAGAAATGATAATGATGAAGGTAAGACGTCAAGTAACTCATTGATTTCCGGTCGAGGAAAACGTTTTCTGGCCAACTCCAGTGGTTGTGATTCGGTACGTTGGAGGAATCTTATGTCATAGCCACCTAAGAAGAAAATATAACAAATTTTACTTAAAGGAATATTAATGCTATAATTGTTAACATGGCATCAAAACTCTCTGAAATCATCTAAAAAGTCTATAGAACCTCTGTATTGCAGATGAGTATGATCTGCAGTGGATATATAGTGATAAAACTTACCCAAAACATTAAAGTAATACATCCAAGTGCTGCTCGCTGCTTTGAAAACATTGCACCAGACTATATTGTGTCCGGGAGAAATGAAAAACTCCCAAGGATTCGGTGGGTAGTTAGATTGTAAATTATAACGTTTGCAAACTTTATTTAAATGCTCTCGTCGCTGTTCCAACTCTTTTTCGGTGGCACTGTGGATTTCTTCGGAGTAGTCATAAACAGGATTGAGCGTTGTTAGTTGTGTGGGTTTGATTGTTTGAGAGAGAGACGAAGTTTGATTGGTTCTGTATTGTTGTAGTTTGTGCAGTCGTTGTTGGCGTAAGAAATGTTTACTTGATTTTGGTCCTTTTTCATACTGCAATCAAAATAAAAAGTTTTAAAAATGTACACTGCAAAATTTAGTTCATATAATTTCCTAGTGGTGCTAAAACTTCACATCTAACTGATTATTACTATTATGTATGCATTAAAAGGCTAATATAGTTCATACTTTCTTCTAGCTTCAAATTAAACTATCTTCGTTTTGCTCTTTTAATATTTATTTAGGAGTGCTTGCTAATGACATATAACTTTCTAATTGAAAATTGGTGCAAAGATGTGAATCTTCTGAAAATATTTATAACATATATACGCGCTCGATTTACTCATCTCAACTATGGCAATTTTATGCCTAAATACTAAATTCTTGTGTCAGGTGTTAGCAGTTAGCAGTTAATAATAATAAATTTAATATATTAAGTTACTAGGCCCTGAATTAAGACAAGTCTAAGGACAAAATCCATAAAAATTTTAATGTTCCTTTAAGATATTTCCGAGCTTTCTTAGATTTATGAAAGTTCTTTGCTACATCAATTCAATTTAATTACAGCATGAACCTTTATAACTTCTGAACATTTATAAGTTATTTAATAAACCTTTAAGTATTCTTTAAAGCTCTTTAATAAACCTTTATAAGTTTTCTAAAGCTTTTTGATGAACCTTTATAGTTTGTTTTAAATTCTTTACTGATCATTCCTAAATTCTTTTAAGTTCTTTAGACAACCTTTATAAGCTCTTTAATAAAAATGTATAAACTCTTTAATTAACATTGATAAGCTCTCTAATGAGAATTTATAAGTTCATTATAGTTTCTTTTAAGTTCTTTAATGAGTCTCTGAAGGTTCTTTAACGTTCCTGAATAAACGCATAATTCAGCAGAACTTGGAATAGAGTTTAACGACTATGATGATATAAAACAAATGACGTTTTCTCTCCTGTAAATCTTAAGAATCAGAAAAAATCGTATATATGCTTAGTTGTTATAATTTGTTTGGTGCTTACTTGTAACTGGCAAGGACAGTACTTGCTACTATGCTTTACATAAAGTGAGAGCTCTATTAAGGGTGTACTGATGAGACCAGCAATTCTGTCTATTTAAAACAACATATTTTTTATAAAAAGTAAAAATTGAGCATAAGTAACATTGCACAGTTAGGAGAGCACCCGGTTAATAGAGGTTAATCGTTGTAAAAAAAATGTGGATAAGGAGTTGTTACATTGTTTTTTTATTGATTAGTGATTTGTAACTTGATTTTCAGGTAGAGTTAGAGGTTAATGTCTCTGTTCTATACGATCTATTATAGCAGCACTGCTACTTTAGATAGAGATTGAACTATAATAATGATTTTTGATGTTTCCAATGCAGTGGTTACTTAACAGATTTTTAGTGTCGAAAATAAATATTATAATTACATAAAAATGCATTAAAGCAAATAAAACTCAAGTCGTTTGGGTCCCTATGATTTCTAACAGGTTTAACAGAATAGTTTTCTATTAAGTTTATGGAACAAAATAATTTCTTTCTTTTTATGACAGTATTTTTTGATTGTAAGTAAAATTCTTCGTAAGTTTTGTGAAAATAAATTTAATTCTACTGTTTTGACTGAGACTATCATACATATAATACCTTCCTCTTTCGCAATGAATGTCAATATTGAAAATGTTTTATTGCATTATTAAACTTACTTCTCGGCGCTTTCCATTCGCAATCACATTGCTCTCCAATATCGTTTTTTCCTTGTTCTGTTCATAAGCATTTATGGATTCCCGAAACAAAAACGTTATGTAGAATGCCGCAAGGAGCACACATGCAACAACCTTCAGTGAATTCTGCAGACGTCTACCATATCGAAGGCGTATGAGCATTGTCGTGCTTAACGCCACACCTTTAGTCCCGCTGGACTAAAGGAGGAGGATTGAACAGCGTTCACTGTTGTGCGTATATGTTTTCAGCACTATCAAAATTATAGTTTCTTTAGTTCTTAACTTAGAAACATTCTCCCTCTAGTTTTTTTTTTACTGACGATTTTAACTTCTCCTCTTCAACACTAAAAAGCGTACCAAAAAAAAAATTAATTTTAAAAAAAAGAGTCGTTGAAATGAAATTTCTTTTATACTCGTATATGGTTTATTAATATGTCAGTTAATGTTTTGTCAGTCTTGTATTGAGTAAACAAGTAGGCGCGAAGTACATTTACTTCTAATGAACTTTTTGCTCCGAACTTTCCGTTTCCCACACATTTCTTTTACAGAAACTATCGTGGGAGTTCGCGTGAAAACACGCATAAAACTTAGGCTTCTGAAGTAGTTTTCTATGTGAAGTACCATTAGCAAGTGCCAGGATATATGTATGTTTGCAGTAAGTACGTGTGTCTATTTTGGTAATGAATTATATTAAATTCCCCATCCTCATCCCCATCTCCTTTGTCCGAAATCATAAACAGATATTCATACATGAAAGCATTCCTTTTCAAATAGGTCATTGCTTTTGTCGAATTCAAGTGGTTTATTCTTCAACTCCCCCACATACAGTTTTGCACTCTACACTCTTCCAAATGGCAAACAGCGGCACCATTTGATGACGTAGGTAGCCGAAAAACGGGGTGGCAAGCAAAACACCTTGTTGAATATCCCGAGTCTTGTACTCGACGCACACACACGCTCACCTGCACTCGCGTGAAGTTGTGCGCATATCATTCGCAAATCAAAGTTAAATAAATCGAACGAAGTGGGATGGATAGATGGATTTCATATGAAAACTTTGATGAGTTTTGCAATGAAATACTTGACATTCGAAAATTAGTTTTCAGAAATTTGCTGAAGAACTGCAAACACAATTCGAGGCAATGCAACTAAAAACCCTATTCACAAAGGATTTTAATAATTTATTTCAGATTTTTTATTTGTCTTTTAAGAAAATGTAAATCAAAATTTACACATCATCGCCTATGGACACATTCATCAGAGCGCCAATAATTAAGAATAATTAAGAATCACCCTGTTGCCTTTCCTTTATATGTAAATAATTTCTTTGTTTTTAATTAAGTTTAAAGATTTTTAATTTCATTTCTAAGTTTCATGATTTGTATTTCCATTTATTTATTTATTTTCTTGTTTTTTTTTTTTTTTTTTTTTTTTTTTTTTTTTTTTTTTTTGAAACTCACTTTGCCGCCTGTTAATGCTTCAGAATCGTTTTCACTCCCGCGATTGCCTTTACGCCAATAGGCGATGCTAACAACTGCGAATCTTCACTAAGATTCCAAAACTTTTACCCGCCGCCAGAGCAATTCAGCACAAGCACAAGCAGAAGCAACAGCAACAGTGATTGTGGAAGTCTATGTGGTTGTGTTCGATATCCTGACGCGTACTTTTCCTTATTTAATATGGAGAAAAAATTTTCACGCAGGCGTTTTACTGCCAAACAGAAATGAAACACCGATTGAAACTCAATGTGTGACGTATCCTCTTCTATTCCTCTAACCTTCCCCCAGTAAGTCTGTTCTCTCAACTATGCAACGCAAAGTTTGCTCCTGATGTCAGAGTGTATTACTTTATGTGGATGACACATTTATCAGTAGTGAGATTCAAATAATTTACTTAACTCTGGATTCCCTTCACCAAAAGCAAATATTCAATTTAATAACTTCTTTATTGGAGTTATTAGACGTAATATCAAATGGAAAAGTCAATATTAATTATTCTACAGCTGGTTTATGATTTCGCTCTAATATAACACAGCAAGTAAATTTGTTGATGAACTTTCACAGCAAATTAACAAAACTCCAAGCTCGAACATGCAAGTCAAGTAAGACTTTGGGTCAGTTGGTTAATTAACACTGACTCTGAGCTTCAAATTTGGTAGGGTACGAGCTCAACCCTTGGTACTTCAAGTCTCAAGAAATTATTTACGAAAAATTTAATATAAGAAATAATCCAAGTCCACTTATGATGAATATTTGGCAATATTCGAAACAGCTGTGTGATCAGTCAAAAATTCAATGAATAAATAATAACATTTTGTTGTTGTGTTTGTTATTCTGCTAGTAACTGACCTGAACCAAAATAAGACACTGCACTTCGCATGAAAGTCAATATGTATCCCATTCATGATTTCCTGATATCAAATGGTTGGGTTAGGCAGTCGCAGTCCAGTACTCTCCTCTCGACCAACTACTCTCTTCCTGACGGAAACCAAAGTCAGATAACCACTAAGTATATGAGTACAAGTTTCAATAGCAGAGTTGACTATAACATCAATAAATTCTAGAATTTAAATTTCACGAAAACGGCTAAAGCTCAATTTTGTGAGGATCTAATAATATTAACTAATCAATCAAAAATACATTTCCATTTCTACTTTACTAAAAAAAAAATATTTGAAAATATAAAACTAGTGGAATGACAAGTTTTCCAATTATCATATCGTGTCCTCAAGTAGTAACAAACAAAAGTCAATACAATAAAACACTTTATAAGATTTTGACAAGGATCTATAAACCTACGATGGCGAGTCAATTATTTAAAATGTTTTCATTTCTCAGCTTAGTCGAGTGTATTATTAAGTGACTTTAACATCTATTGTAACCTCTATACGAGCTTAAACAGATGATTCTCTAAATTCTACTTATTCAATTAATTATAGTATGTGTATGATATTACCGAATCTTGAATTATTATTAGATGTACATGTATTCACTAATTGTTTTGGCGTTTTTTATATCAGTGTTCGGTGCCTCATAGTTTAGTTTGCGTTTTCTTTTTCTTTTCACAATATCAGCAGATCCAATTAGAGTCAATTCTCAGTTTATTTAAGTGATAGTTTAACCTCTTAATAGTTCTTAAGATGTTCTTCATTAGATTCAAATAAGCCTTAGGTTATAGAATATATAGGCTGTTAGGGGTGTCAGTATCAGCATGTTGTGTCAGTATAGTCTTTGATTTTTGGCTTCTTTCTTTTGAACAAAGAAATATTACCCTCTCCTAGCAAGCTCATCTTAGTGTTTCAAATAGTTCCCCTGTTTTTAAGAAAATCGATATGTCAATATGCTTACTAACCGTGGAGCTCGGACAGAAGTTATAAATACTACTCGGTTATCAGTAACGAATGTATACAATCTTTACATTCGCTCTCGAGAATCCGAAAGGTTTCCTTAATGTGAGTTGTAGGGTTTCTAATGTATAAGTTCTCCAATCATATTAAAGGTCAACTCTGTTTTATAAAAAAATTTTTGTTTATTTAAGATGCATTATTGTAATTATTAATCATTGACCATCTGTTCTTCTGCTTCAACGCGCACACACACCTTAGTGCAATCGACCTTTAGATCCGTCTCATAGAAGCGGCTAGATTTCTTCATCTTGATCGTGGTTGATATAAATTCTTAATCCATCCCAGTCCCTAATAATTCCCTCTGCTCTCCTACAATCATTACCCGTACACATCCTAACCCATGTATTCGTCAGGTGATTCTTTTCATGTTATCTATTTCACACATCACCGCGGACTACAACAAAAACAACGTGAGTTCTGCTGAAATGTTTGTGATATTTTTTGTTGACTTCTATTATGCAGATCTATTGGTTGGATTGATCTTTCGAAATTCTTTTAATTACTTAATATTTTTTATTTCTGTTTTAATCTGTTTTAATTTTGTCATCTTTTCAGCCTCTCGTCGCCATTTTGAAATTGCTTTTCAAATGTTTGACCTGAATGGAGATGGGGACGTTGACTGTGAAGAGTTTGAGATGGTAGCTACACTAATACGTCAGCAGACAAGCATTGGCAGTCGACATCGTGACCATGCGAACACTGGCAACACCTTTAAGGTAAAACAAACGCTGAAGAGTGAATGCCGGCAAAGTACAGACTTTTTGCTTTGAAATTATTTAAATACTGCCGATCGATCTATGTTTGATACTGTGTGTCTCAATGTGCTCGTACTTGTATGTCTGTGTGCATGTGTGGCTTATGTATTTATATAAAGTATTAATTATTTTAGAAGTAAACACAAAAAGTAAATGATAAAGTTCTGGGAAAGCAATATTTGTAAATACCTGTGTCAGGATCGCTTTCAAATTTCAGCGATTTCCTTGATATATGGTTCGGGAATCAGTTGGAAAGTCTTGATGAATAGAAATAGTAATTCTAGAAATCAGAAATCGCGATAAGGCGCTGCTCACACGGCGGATGTAATCATTTACTTTTTGCTGTACCGTAGACATTTTATTACTAATCGACTGATTAAACTCACTAATTGTTTGTACTTTCTATGTCTTTGCTTTTCTATTTCTATTCTTATTATATAAATAATAAATATATATATGTAAATATATAAATAACACTTACCGACAACAATTTACTCATAGTCCTCGAAGGTATAATCAATCGTGTTTTACTTATATTTTTATAAAATTTCTTTTGTAATATAATTTTTTTTTAAATAAATATAAATAAATTTTTCTAGATATTTCATAAGCTGCAAATCATAGTGAATTCGAACTCATAAAGAGTGAAATTAGAACTTTGCTGAGCAAAACTTTACACAGCAAAAATCTAATGATCAGTTAGATCAAAATTAAATTAGTATTGCCATACCGGATTTAGTATATGTATTGATATAACTTGTTTGCTGCCAGTTCTGTCTTAAGAACTAAGAGCTTTATGTCCCGGAATCACTTGTCTACTGTGATACTTATTTCACTCTGCAATTCATCTCTCTCAACTACAACTCAAAAACCTAGGTACCTACCTATGTTACAGCCCCAGCTACCAAACACTCCATGTTTAAAACTTTGAGGTATCAATTCAATATTTCACTCTTAATTTCTAATATTTCTTTTCACTGCATATGACAATATTGCCTGTACCCATATTTCAGTTCATATACCAGGTTTATGCATACGTTTTTGTCATTTTTTTCTAATAAAGAAGAACGTATTTTCAAGATAATACCATGCCACACGGTAAATTATTCGTCGAGCCATTTTCCAACTACCTTGAAATTGCTGAAGTGCTGCTTTGCGAGCGCGTGCAGATTGATGCGAAGAGATGATAGCCACGTCTAGGGAGTACATCAGGTGCGAAGGGATGTGTATTTCACTGATTTTGTTATTTGAGACGGCGCATTTACAAAATCACTTTGCGATGCAGAAGTCATTGCCATTCCGGTCATTTTTCGATCAATATGTGATTTAAAATATCATTTGTTGACGATGGCGTTGTACACGAACGGTTTCGGTGGAATTCAAGAGTTCATAATAGACAATACCGCTGTGGATCCACCAGACACAAAACATGGTTTTCTTGCCGAAGCATTTCGTCCTTAGTATTGAAGCATCGGCTTCGCCAGGTCAAACTCACGACTTTCTCCACTTTGTGCTTTCAAAAAAAATTTATTTTTGTCATCCGTCATAATTCGACGCAAAAGTAATTCTGTCATTGTATTAAAGCAGCATTTCACAATTGACTTCGTGATTTTCCATTTCACGTTCATTCAAACCATGTGGGACTCATTTACCAAGTTTATTGATCTTCCATTGCACCCAAACGTCTGCTGATTATTTCTTGTGACACATTTAATGCTTCTGCCAATTGCTGTTGGGTCATCATCTAATAACACCTGCAATTGTTTGTCTTCGCACTTTTGTCGTCAACCAAAACCCAAAAGCTTACTGTCTTTCACATAGAAATCACCACTTGTAAAAAGTCGAGACCATTTATAACATATTCTAATCGTTGGAGTGTTGTCACTATATTATTCCACCAGCAAACGACGACTTTCAACTGCGTTTTTCTTTAGATTAATTAAAATAGCAATGCTCTTTTTCAGACCTAATCACTGAATGATGAAACAAAGACGCTAGTCTTCGGCTCTAAGTTAAATTGGAGTCTTCGGCTCTAAGTTAAAATCTCTAAGTTAAATTGGAAAAAACTTAAGTATACACCTGGTATACCGTTGAATTGATTAATTAAGTAAATTTATTATTAACACACTAAACACAAAATATTCTTCTCGGTAGGAAGAAACCGCTGTTCTTAAGAAAGGCAATTCAAGCAAGTTCCCTTACAATAAGGCAAGTTTCCTAACCCGATTTTCCAAAATAAAATTACTAAATAAAAATATATATATATAAATAAAATATAAATATATATAAATAAAATAAATATATATATAATATATAAAAAACTATAAAACAGTGTGGCAATACTAGTTGAATTAATTCATTTTTAATATTCACGCTTCTCCTACATAAGCTTTCCCAATGCCCTCATCTGTGTAATATTAAAACATATATCAATTTTATTTTTATTTAAACGCTAAAGATAAATTTTCTTTTAAATACTTTTTTTATTTAAAACAATTAATTTAAGTTTTATTCTCTATTATTAGGGCGTGAACTCAGCACTTACCACTTATTTCTTCGGAAAAAATCTGGACCAAAAACTTACAATCGAGAGATTTTTGAACTTCCAATATCAATTACAACGTGAGATCTTATCGCTGGAGTTTCAACGCAAACAGCCCGACGAAAATGGTAGAATATCTGAGGCCGATTTTGCGGAACTAATGTTGGCTTATGCTGGATATCCATTGAAAAAGAAGCATAGGAAAGTGAAGCGTGTCAAACGTCACTTCAAAAACAATAGTACTGGCATATCCAAAGCTGATTACCTGGATTTCTTTCACTTCCTGAATAATATCAACGATGTCGATACGGCGTTAACTTTTTACCACATCGCCGGTGCCTCAATCGATCAAGCGACACTAAAACACGTTGCCAAGACCGTAGCCATGGTCGATTTATCTGATCACGTGATCGAAGTTGTCTTTGCCATTTTCGATGACAACAGTAATTAGATTCTCAAAAGCATTCAAATATCGAAACTAATCTCTTTTCATTTTCCAGATGATAATCAACTGAGCAATCGGGAGTTTGTTGCTGTAATGAAGAATCGTGTCCAGCGCGGCTTAGAGAAACCAAAAGATACTGGTTTCATTAAACTTTTACGTTCTATGCTGAAATGTGCTAAGGAGACAAAACCAGTGCTATTGGACCTTTAAATCATTTCAGAAAAATAAAAGAAAATATATAGAATTTTTTATTTATTTACTTAATATTAGCGAATTCCGCACATAAATGACCTTGCAATGTCGTTATAATAATTTCTTTGGTGATCCTCAAGTTTTTCAATTTTTATTTATTTATTTTAATCATCATATATATACTCGTATAGGTATATAATACATAAATATCGATGTAATTAATATAATACATATTTATGAACTTTATAGACTTACAATTGTTACATGCTTTAACCAAAAATGGTTCCTTGAGGACGAGTTTCACTTGGGCCCATTTTAGAAAGAACGCCTTTTTCTTATCAATCTAATCAAACATTTTATTTATTTTAAGTTATTTATTACGTTAGTTACTTTAAACGCTTTTTTCCTGTATATTTTTCAAATCTGTCAATCTGACGTATAAAGTTACATTTCTAAAATAAATATACATTTTAAAGAGATAATGATTGAAACTTTGACCTCTTTTCCTTAGTTTGTATGTCCAGAACAATGTAAGTAACATTTGTAGTGTTAGATTGCGTTTAAGTTCCCGTATTCGTGCTGTATACGTACTGCAATGTGTTTGAAGAATCAGTAATCTTTGTTCATAATACTTTATTTATTTAGTTCATAGTATGACTGCGGAACGTGGAGGTCTACCAAATATATTATTCACACTTAAATGCATACTTTTATCAACCGACAATGTAAGGTATTTTTGGGTGAAAACGATACACATCGAAAATATTTTAACATTAACATCCAATAAGCCGATTCAAATAGAAATAAAATGTAGAAAATATGATGACAATAGATTGAGTATACGCTCCGAAATGAAAATAATATCACAGAACTTACATTTGAAGAATTGAAGATACCATACATAATACTCATGTCTACTTTTATTCAATAGCGAAAAATCTTATTAATATTCATGATTCCAAGAACGGTCGGATCTGCGCCGTGGAGCCGCTCATCCAAGGTCTACCCAAGCAGTTCCCTGCGGATTACAAAAACAGTAAAAATTGGTGTTTATCTTTATGACTTACTTAAGTATAATATAAACGTATATATATTAAAATATTCTAAGAGAATTGATTTCTGGCTATAGACCCTTTAGGTTCTTGGCTACTTTATACACTACTTGTTTTGCTATTTATTTCTTAAAAAAACTATTAAACTCTAAACTCTATGGTATATATGAAGGACAAATATTTCTCAATATTTAAATTCGTTTAAGCGAACTATAAAAACAAGATGGTGTTAGTTTTCTGTTAGAGTTCTGTTTGAAAAGAATGGGGTTTAGATATTACTGATTGAACTTTCTTTATAAAAACAACTTATTTCAGCGAAGTATTAACCAAATTCAACACAGAGCTCAACGTATGATTAGTGCAAGTTTGATCCCGTTCTCTAAAGCTCATGTTTGACAAGTAGCTTTGATATGGAAACTGTGCTATACGTATGTATAGATGATTAAGTGGAACTCATCTTTCCCAATAGTGATTCAACAGCGGTTTCAAAAATAACAACAATATTGTATTTAAGTTAAAAACCAATAAAATATTCTATAGGCAGTACTCCATGGTACATAAAAAAATGTGGTCTTCGAGTCTTCGTCAGAATGTAAGCGAGTCTTCGTCAGAATGTAAGCGAAATAGTGTCAAAACTCTAAAATGTGATGACCTTTTAATGACCTTTTTTAAATGTTTATGTATATTTACACAAAAGTAACTGCGTTCGTTATAGTCAGCATTTGTAGCTTTATTTTGATGCGTACTATTTTGAAGCACTATTTTGTGTTGTATTAAGTACAATATTATAGTACAGTATTATAGACGATATTTTTATTTTATTATTATTATTAAATCACATAAATATTAGAAAATACTTTTTTTTACATATATTGTACTCCACGGTACACACTCATAGTTCCTATGTATATAAAGGAATTTGATTTAAATAAATTTTTTTCAATGACATTTTTGATATCTAAATTAGTGTTTCTTTACTCTGGTATCCTGAAGGCGATTAACACTGAAGAGTTGTAGATTTTCTATTATCTAAGAGAGTCGCCAACAGTATGATAAGATGGTACCCTATTAATGAGCGCATAATAGCAATAAAGTTGAATACTAGGATCCGTAAGTTTATAGTGATTAACGTTTACGCCCCAACAGAAGGCCAACCTTCTCGTAGAATTCCTCGTAGAAATCATCTTTAGAGAGTAAAGATGATTTCTACGAGGAACTCAACAGCAGGTTTTATACCAAGGTCCGTAGCGACGACATAATTTTTTTACTCTGCGATTTCAATGCTAAAGTAGACTCGGACAATTCCAACCTGGGTCGCTATATGGGAAAGCGCGGCATTGAAATAAAAAACGATAATAGAAGAAGGCTTCGCGAATTCCGTTGTGAAAAGAGACTGGCTGTTGGCGGCACACTTTCCCCACACACGCTTCAACACAAAATCATGTAAGTATCACCAAATAAAATTGAATCAGATCTACCACACTCTTATAAACCTTAAATAGAGGTCATCCCTTCTTAATGTTTGCTCAAAATGAGGTGCTGATATGAACAGTGATCATCACTTCGTGTTGTGTAAAATCAGATCGAAAGTGAAGTCTACGCCAACAAAAGCAAATCGCAGGCTTGATGTACATAAACTAGATTTAGAGCATCATCACAGTGCCTTTATGGGTTCCATTAGTCCACCGCCTAATATAAGCAATAAGTAACATGCATTGAGGTTGGTCAACAATTGCTAGGCTTTAAAGACAACAAACGAAAAATCTGACTTACGCAAGCCACATAGTACTAACTTAGTGCTGTATATCAACGTTACCGGGTAGAATGTCGAGCATGTGAGTGCTTTTAATTATCTTGGAGCACGGTAACCTCAAAAAGCGGAGCACGGTAACCTCACACTCTATCTGGAAATTCCCATAAATAACCACTCAAACAAAAATTCGCATTTATAACTAGAATATTAAGTCGATCCTGTTCTATGGTTGTATGACATTAATTCGCGTTTACAAGCCTCTTGCAATAATTGTCTGTCAGATTTTGAACGTGTGGTGGCCTAACTGGTCCAATAATGCTGACCTCTGAAACGCTACCAATCAGACCTCCGCGCCTGGTAAAACCTGTAAAAGAACATGGCGTTGGATTGGACATATACTCCGCAGAACGAAAACATCGCCCGTCAAGGACTTCGATGGAATCCTCAAGGTAGAGGTCGATTTGTTAGCGAATTAGAAACGGAAGCTGCAATAAAACAAAGTAAAATATCTTATTTATTAATTGGTATTATTAATGTTTTAACTGAAGTTTGAGTTTCTCTATTTCTGAGGTTGGCAATTATTTTTATAATTAGGATAAAAATGTCCTTCAATTAATAAACTGTAATAATAGTTTATGATTGTACAGATGTTACAAAAAAAAAGAAACAATGCTCACCTGCTCATAATTTCAAAAGATCACAAAAGAAGATATTATTATCTTATTCAAGAGTCCCATATATTCTAGAATTTGGGTTCCTTTCACTATTCTATTGTTTTTTAAATAACAACAGTTAACGCTTTAATTTATGGAAAAAATCCGTGTGAATAAAATAAAAAATAAAAATTTTAAAATATTAAATTTTTTATAATATTTTTATTATAATAATAATTTTATTATAATAATAATTTTAATAAAATATATTAAATAAGAACTTAAATATATTAAATTTATAATAATAATTTTATTAAAATATATTCAAAAACCTGATCAACACGTATGGATGCAATAAATAAATAAAAATTTAAATTATTATAATAATTTTATTATAATAATAATTTAAAAATATATTCAAAAATGTGATCATTATAAGTTACTTACACATTAAATTAAACTCTTTTTAACTCTTTTTTAACTTATCTCCCACGCAATTTGCTTGGGAAAGATTTTGTGCAAAAGTGGGAGAAAACTCCCATTTCTATTAATTTAGAATAAGGGAATTGGGAAAAGGGAAAAAACTCCCATTCCCAAGTGTTTCAGAATAGGGGTTGATTGATTTTTTGCCACAAACCAACATAAAAACGCCACTCCATATAATCTCCAACTGCAAATATGTCACCTAATAAAATTTGACGTCAGGTACTTGACTGGAGTCCGCAAAGAAATTGAAAATGAAGAGGTCCACAATTTACGTATTTCAGATTTTCGACCGAGATTATATACTCCATATCATAGGTTAAAGGAACCGGCAATGATATTGTCACCCTTCTTTTATTAATCGTATAACCAAGAAGAGAATTTTTTACATAAATTCTGACCTAATCGTTATTAAGGATTGTGAATACTCAACAGCATTTTGGTATGCTCACTCATAATCGGAATGGAATTACATTTTTTAGAATAAAACATATTTAAATAATAATGTATTCTTAATCATTTAGTTTCTTATTTGTTCCTTTTGACAAGCATAGGTCGTCTATGTGGTCTCCAGATAATTTGAATTGGAGCTGAAATTAAAAGTGTAAACCTTAAGCTGTCCTAATACTGCCTTTTTTATTTAAAAATCTGTTTCGGGAAGTTTAAAAATTAAGGAAACGGTTTTCAAATTTATAATTTACTTATTACCGCTCGGTAGATTATCATTATCGACTATCAGTATCGGATCAATAGAAATAGTTAGCAGTATATATGTGCGCTATGTAAGTTTGTCTCCCTCATAAAAGCCATATATTTCAAGAAATTAAAAATGCAATTTAAATTTTTTTTATATATATATTTTCATATATTTATATAGTACATATACACAAGTAGCATATATTCCTAGTTGAAATTGCTTGCAATCGTCCTTGCTTCGTCCGTCAACTCAGGACGAGCAACTACTCTCATATAAAGTTTAACATACATTATAATTTTACTATAAAATACTCTCGTCAAGCAATCTCTTACAATATAAAAAACAACACATAAACAACAATAAACAATAAATTTAATTAATTAATACATTTTTTTTAAGAATAAATTCACTTATGAACTAAAATATAAAATTTTTTTTATTTTATTTTTATTTTTTTTGTGTTTTTTATATAATAAATTGGCTTACGAGTTAAAATATTTCCTTTAAGAACTACTAATTTTAAATTGAAAACATGGATTGACCTTTAGAAACATTCAACAAACACAATACATTAATAAATAGTATCCGTAATACCACATACGGATTATCATATATATATATATGTATATATATATGCAAATATGTATATATTATATGTACACATTATATAAAACTGTTTGAATAAATTAACGATTAATAATTAATTAATTAGAGAAAATTATAACAAATTTACACGTTGGATAAGTTTGAGCTTGACTTGCTTGCGTATCGCCATAGTGGATTGATCCACATACCCTTGTCCCTGCTTCCTATCACATTGTATAGATCTCTTCACCGATTGATTTTTCTTCCGCTTGCAGATTAGATTTGGAAATGCATTTTAGGCATTCACTTGCGCTCGCATACTGAATCGGTGAAGTGATAGTTCAGATGGGACATCTTTGTCGTGCCATCGAGAAAGCGTATCGATTCAGCGTTACCCATACCTCTAGAAACTCGACACACAATCGGAAGAGGGACATGGAGTGTACATGCAGTGAATTGTGTATAGCCGCATTACACATAAATTGTACGATTTTAACTAAACCGTCCACTATGTTTTCTAAATATAAAATATTTAGTGTCTGTCCTCTCTCTCCATTGAAATATCAAAAAGTGCGGTGTTCCCCAAAATAAAATAATTAGAAGTAAACTAAACACAAACATCATAATCTTCTTCACTTTTTATTGATCACCGGCTCGAATCATCATGTTCTTAATATTTGCAACCTCAGATTCTAGCCGCGCCAGCTGAGATTTTAGTATACGCTCACGTTCTGCATGCGAAACAGACACCACAGACGATGGAGCGCAATTATCAATATTTTTGGGTGCTAATATTTTCTGTTGTAGCTGTGCGGTCCATTCTGCGCTGCCAATGGAAATGCCTGAATCGCGTTCATCGCTTGAGTTGTCACCGCCATCGGCCCATGTGTTTGGTGAAGTTTCCCTATTGCAAATTGGTTCTTGTTTTATGTGTTGTAAAGCCAATAGTGCTGTGGCGGCAGCATCTTTGTCTCCAAGATGGGATTTGTGGCGTAACTTAAGTGGCAAGCAATTGTTGGAGTCGTTGCTGTTGTTAGGGCTAATGTTGCTTATATTAACCACACTATTTCGCCCAATTTCATCAACTGCATCGTGCTCATGCTCGTCATCACCTGACACAGCCCCGGAAGAGGATGCTGATGATGAAAGCGAAGAAGATAGTCTCGATGAGGCGGAGGATGTGGTGGAAGACAGAATATTTTCATAGGAGGGCGTACATGCACGACGTGATAAATTCAAAACACTTGTTGGACCGGTTGATGATGAAGAAACGGTGTCTACTCCACTGGAACTAACTGTAGCCTCAGCCGTATGCAAGTAATTGCCAACACCAATGCTTGGACCATCCTTTCCGAAAGCATAACCATTTGTAGACTGCCCCGGTGGTGCATAAAGTGTGGCAGGTGCTTGTGCAACTCCATACAAGCCATTCACATTGGAGAGATCAGCTACATTGGCACCCACAACAGCCACTACCTTACGCAGATGATCTAAATCATCAGAATTCACATTTCGATTCAGGGCTTGCAGCACGTGAAGACTTTGTAAATTTGCTTGTGGCGGCACATTTGTTGGAATTTGTGGTCTGGAATTCTCAATTTGATTTGTGGTTGTACTCACAGCAAACATATTACTGACACCGTTTTGAACTTTCATACCAGCGTTATTTGTGTTTGATGCAGTGCTCATGTCTGGACATGCATTCACACAAGCGCCTATGCCATTAAGATTGCTGGGCGTATTATCGACGGACGGTTGTGGATGCAGCAACTGTTGTTGTTGCTGAACCGAATAATGTTGATTCAATGGCGGCACTAATTGAGCTGTAGAAGCCGTATTTGGAACTAAAGTTGGTGCAGTTTGAGAAGCTAATTGTAGATGGGCGGTTACAGGTGAAATGGACGATAGCGTTGGTATTGGCATGTGTGAGTGGCTAACATTTTTGATAACTTGTGACATGGACTGTGGCATTGTTTTACCGGCGACTGTGGTATCTCCGGTGATGAGCGTATTATCGCTCGAGTTCTGATGATTCAGAATATTATTGTTTTTCTGTGTCAACGCGAGCGGTGGATGTGATGCAACTGCTACTGCGGCTGCTGCAGCTGCAGCTGCCGACAAAGGTACTGGAGCCGCGGGAGTGTATACGATAGCCGGTGGTGCGACAGCCATGTTATTGTTAAAGCCGTTTGGTGTCAATTTGGCACGTTTTGTAACGCTTAAAACTTGCTCACTCGTTGGCAACGAGGCTAGTATTTGTTCCACGCTGACCAAATTCTCACCAGAAATATTGAACTTATCCTTGATAGCATCTAACTGCGCTTTGAGCACATGATTTTCTTTTGTTAACTCGACAACGCGCTGCTCCAGCACCATATCATTGTAACGTCTCTTTTCCCGACTGCGCTTAGCTGCTTCATTATTTCGCCGTCTGCGGTCCCAATAACTGTCATCCTTCTTATTATCAGGGGTGAATTCGCGTTGTTTGCGTTGGGTGAAAAGCTCCTTGTGATGCTGCGAATTTGATTTGTGATTTTCATAGTTGCTGGAGCCATTGTAGTTTCCGCCGTATTTCCCATTGGCATTTATGTGCGAGATCATACTGTCTGACATGCTGTGGCCACTATCGCTCGATTGTGGACTCATGGGACCGTACACAGAAAGTCCATGAACTGTAAAAAACCAAAATAGGTGAGTCAATATCAAGGTTTTCAGGGTTGTATTAAAAAAAATTTTGATTTTGTTGAAATAGTGATGGAATTTGAAATTAGGAACTCACCATTTGTGGCTTCATTTGAACTGCCGTTAATTGAGAGGGACGGCGAAGTTGACATTCTGATGCTGTTCATTGATTGGTGATTGGTTGAAGTAGTGGATTTCGAGAATGACAAAGAGGAATTCTTAAATGAATTAACGCTTGGGAATTTGTGGCTCTTGTTGTTGTGGATATTGTTAATGGTGCCGTTATTTGGTGCTGTGATATTCAGAACTTCTGGCATGGCAACTGTAGTGCGTCTGGTATTCTCACCATCAAAGCCAGCAGTAGGCAGGCAGTAATTTGTTGGATTCCGTGCAATAAAATCACAAACGGAAAATTTCGATTTGTAATCTAATCGATTTATGCTTCTTATATGCTCTTCTTCTTCTTGAGAATATTGTCTCTCTAAAAATGTATCTGTAAGTAGAATTATAAACAAATCGTTAGAGTATTATTCACAAGACAAAGAAATGTTAAAAAATAACAAATTTGTTTCAGTATCAAACTAACACAACGATCAACAGAAGGTCTATTAAACATTCTCGATACATTTGAACTCTTCGAGCAAGTTGTAATTACTCTATCAGTTTATTCGAGGAGAGTAAGTTTTCAAACTACCGTAACTTTCTCTTTCGCAAGAGAAACTTCTCGAATTTTCCACATGGAATTTGCGAAATGGATCGAAAACCGGAAACTTTCAATAATAGTACAAACAAAGCATCTCTAGAATTTAGAAGCATTATTCTGGATAGCAAGCAGAACTTTAAACTAAACAATGAAGTTTCTTCATGTGTTATTGTAATGGATTAAAGACAATTTAATGTATTTTTAATTTAAATTCCTAAAAATTGAGATAGTGGTCATTATATAGTATTGGATATAAATATGTACTTAGCACCCCATTATTTTGTGGTAATGTGATTTCTAAAAAATAAAGTGGAAAATTTCATAAGGCAACGACACTTTCACACTTTACTTAGATTAGAAAAATCTTCTGATCTTTAATATTCTTTTTAAATCTTTGAAGTATGTAATTTATAACTTTTAATCCATAATCTTCGCAAAACATAAACACATTCCTAGAAGAACACAAGAAACCTTTAAGCTATTTAAGAAGACCTTTACGGTAATTCTAATATTTTTTCAAAATAAAATATAATTAAGCTGGCATTAGCCTGGATCTATAGACATTATAGAAAGTTTGATGTTAAAAAGATAAAAGATAGAGATAATAATAATAAGAGATAATAACACATATATTAGTATTTCTAAGAAATACAGTGGACATACAAAATTTTCTTCAAGATTCCTTGTTTTTTAAAAAAATGTGGTTTAATAATATTTTCAAATTTTAAGAATTTTCAAAAATAGGTTCTATTAGCAAGCGGATGGGTCTACATGATAAAGTTACTAGTTATTGATGACTAAGTGACACTTAACAATCATTTTTGTCGAAGTTTTAGATTTTATAATCATTAGAGAGACTACCTGGGTTACAACAATATAGCAAAAATATTATACAGTTTGGTATGTTAAAAAAACAATTTTAAATAAATAAAATACTAAATTAAAAACCAATTAGTAATATAAAATTATAAACTTATAATTTATGTTAACCAAATTAAAATCTTCTATGAAAATATTAAATATTATCAGTTAACACTCAGGTGTCTCCATAACTACACATATAGCTTTTCTCTCTTTCTCTTACTCTCTCTCTCTCTCTCTTTCTCCATAAAAATAGTCAGAAGAATATAAATAGGCAAGTAAAAATAAATAAACAAAACATTAAGACTTTTTTATAAACAAATAAAAATTATATATAAATTAGTTTAAATTTAATAAAAATAAATTAATATTATACAAACACATTAACTAATAAATATTTTATTAAAATAAATAAATTATACCACATATAAATACAATTAGACATAAAAAAATAAAAATTAAATATAATTTAATAAATATGTAAATATAACTAAAATATAAATAAATTTTGTTAAATATTAAAATAATTTAAGTTTAATTATTTATATTTAATTAAATAAATAACTATATAAAGATATTTAGAAATACATAAGCAAAATATACACTCAAGATTAAATAAAAATATATTAAATATAAATTAAAAAATATCACACATAAAAAAGTAAAACAAAATTAGTAAAACTAAACTAAATACGAAATAATTAAGAATTAAATAATAATAAATAATAGTTTTGTTTTTTAACGAGCTAAAAAAAACAAAATTATTATTAAAAAATTTGGTCATTAAAACAAAAAATTTGTTATAATAAATAAAAAAATTAAATATAAACAAATAAAAATCAAATGTTAATCATTTTTAATATAACCATACACATACACGTATGTGTATAAATAAATAAAAATTAATTTAATTAATAATTTAAAAAAAAGGTCATGTCATATTGTAATAAAAACTAAAATATAAATTGCGATAGTAATTCCAAGAACTTGGGATCTCGTTAAATCAAAAAAAAAATATATATATATATATTTAAATGCAAACAAAAGAAGTAAATTTAGATATAAATTTATATACCTCAGTAACTCTAATATTTGAAAAAAAAATATATATAAGTTTGCTTAAAATTAATACATATATAAAAAAAAACAATCGAAATTCTTCCAGTAATTCAATTTTTTTTTTAACATAGCCTTACTTCGACTAATTTTTAAGTTTCAAGTAATTCTCTATTTTAGTTTCAGAACCTATTGAACTTTTAAGAACTAAGAAACCCGAATAATATTATAACACATATAACTAGGTCAATAGAAAAAGAGATTTATGATTTATTAATATGCAAATAAATTGGTGGATCTCTAAATTAGAGGACTTTAAAGATTTTTAAAATAGTTAGATTAAAATTTTAATTATATATTTAATATATGGTATATATATAAAAAAAAACACAAATACACACTATTATTAAAGCACAAAAAATTTATATTACATTTTAGTCTAAGATCGAATAACTTTAACGGGGTCGGGGGGCATGCGATTTAGTAAGAAAGCATTAGGCAGACAGTCTTCAAGAATATGAGTGACATGAAATATATTCAGGCTTCGAACGATTGCTATCTGTCTAGTTAAAACAATATACCATATGTTATAAATAATACATATATAAGAAACGTCTGGAGAAACATGAAGATAGATATATGGAGAGTTCTGGATTGTATTCCCACTTGAGTCAAATCGAGTTCATATCCCAGTGAATCTAAGGGAGCAATGTGTATAGATAGACGTGATAGCCAAAATTTTTTCTATTGAGATCATAAGCTTATATAAGTGGGTGCATATATATATATATATAATATATAATTTATAATTATTTTATTATTTGCAGTTTCCAAATAAGATTCAATTCTTACGTACTTTTCTCGTTTATGTGAAAATCATTTATTGTTCCTAATTTATTATTAATTTCACTGCCACTATTATTATTGCTGCTGCTGTTGTTGGTGTTGGTGTTGTTGTTGTTGCTGTTGCAATTGTTTTGATTATTGTTACTAAAGCTGTTGCTGTTGTTGCTGTTGTTGTTGTTAGCGATAGTGATGGCGTTAGTGTTGGCGGTATTATTAAATTTTTTGAATATATCCGATGTATTTGTTGTATTTGCTGCACCACAAAAATTATATTTAAAATTGTTTAAATTTTTCGAGTTCAACTTATGAGTGTTGTCAGTGGTTGTTGTGTTGTTGTTGTTGTTGTTGTTGTTGTTGCTGTTGTTCTGTTTTAAAATTAATAAATTTTTGGTAGCAGATCCTTTCAAAATGTTCACCTTTGACTCTAAGGTACAAACAATAGACATTTTACACTTTTCTGTTTAAGAATTCCAACACTATCTGCATTTATTTTTTAATTGACATATTTAAGCAAAAATTTTGCATTTTTTTAATATTCAATAATAATAATAATAACAATAATATTTAATTATTTTGTAATAATTAAAAATTTTTTTGGTTTTTTTTTTTTTTGTTAATAAATTGTCATAATATTTTTAAATAAATATTTTTTCTTCAATAATTATTTTTTATTCACATAACATTTTTGTTTTTCTTTTTTTGTTTTTAAATGTATTCCAAAGAAAAGTTTTATTTTAATAAATTCAACAATGAAAACACTAAAAGCGCATTCAAAACATTCTTGCGCTTCAAAATTCGAATTGTTGATGACTTGTTGGCCGGCAAAAGCGTTTTGAATTTATTCGGAAGCACTGAGAACGAACGGAGTACAACCGCTGACGACGACCGCTGGAACACAATTGAAATAGAAAAGCTTTCACGGACAGCAAACCACTTTTTCGCTTATGCGATTTTTTAGTGTCACGTGTTGAAATTATTTCAAATTAGATTTCTTCGTACGTTTGCTGCTGCTGCTGCTGCTGCTGCTGCTGCTGCGCACCCTGTGTGCCCGCACTAAGATTCTGTCTATCTATCCAAATGCGTTTTTATGTTAGCTCAAACACAGCAACCAGCAACATGTTCGTTATGTCACGTTGCAACAACATGTCAAGTTGCTTGACAAACTTGTGTAACGTAACATGTTGTTCCTTTTTTATGGTCCTCTACGTTCCTACGTTCGTTACCTCGTTTATTCGCTTACTCGTTAGCTCGATAGCTCGATAGCTCGATAGCTCGATAGCTCGTTAGCTCGTTAGTTCGTTAGTTGGTTAGCTCACAAGTTAATTCGTACGTAAGTACAAACGAACGTTCGTTTGTTCGTTTTTCTTTGCTTTTTATTTTGCTTGTGCGCTCAGCGAAAACGGTTGCTTCTAGCTTGCATTTGATATTCTTTTTTTTTTTGTTTGCTGTTGTTGTAGTATTTGCTGCTTTTATTATTATTATTATTACTGTTGTTGTTATTGCTGTTGTTTTTGTGACTTTTAAAAATAGTATTACATTTTTTTTGTTTGTCGTAATATGTTGGTCACGTTGCAGAGGAACACGTTGCCGCTTTGCCATTAGATTTCACTGCAACATGTTGCAACCTACATTCGCTTGTGCTTTACTTTGCTTTGCTGTGCTGTGCAAAGTGTGTTTCTTTCCTCTCCCGTCGTCGTGCAGCTAAAAGTGAAATTTCGTTACAACTTGTTGCATGGCCTTTCTTTCTTTCCTCTTCTGCCCAATATTGCCAGCGGGTCAATTTCAAAAAAAAAAAAACAATTTTTCTGACTCGAAATATGCAAAAGTTGAGCAGAGTTTTATAAGAGGAATGGAAAAGACACAAAAGTAGTCCAATGAGTAAGTTCGGTTATCTTATACAAACAGCAAGCGGACAATACGAATTGTCCATTTTAGTACACAGTACTAAATTCTATATATGAGGAGTGTATTTTTCGCTTAACTGTCTATAATTCATATATTCACAGCTAAGACAACTTGACCCTAAAATCTTTTAGATCTTACTAGAAGTACTAGATGAGTATCTGAATAGGGTTACCACTCTTCTCTATTCTTCGTTTAACTGTCTGTAATTCATATAGTCACAGCTAAGACAACTTGACACTAAAATCTTTTAGACCTTACTAGAAGAATCACCTAATCAGGGTCATTACTCTCCTTATATTATAGACCTGTAAATAGTCCATTTAACTCTTAGTTACAGTGATGACATACTCAGTGTTTATAGTGGGACCCTAAAATTCTCTAAACCCTATTATCTTTATTTCGTATATAACGACTTTACTCGAAGGTTTTTTGGATTGTCAAAATGAACCGAAGTTGCTATAAAAAAAGTACTAGCATAAGGCTATGACTCTATAAATAATAAGGATTATGAGATCCTTAGTTAAAGTTAACATATACATACATATATATTTAGAGAACTACTAGTGACGATTTATTGGTCTGGAAGTTAAATAGCGTTCAAAAAAAATCTGTCTGATAACAACAGATATTGTATCGAATATAAAAAAATTGGTTCTTATAAAATGATTCTTTCAAATATGTTATATAAAGTACGTTTGAGGAATAACTTATAAATTAATACCTTCAAATGATGATGACAGAAAAACGGTGCATAATAGAATGTAAATCCCTTCGCAAAAAATTATCCAATATTATAGGGTATTGATATATAAAAAGCAAACAAAAAAAATTTTAATAAGAATTTTAAGTAAAATTACTAAGATTTTCATTAAATCCATCCAACATTTTTCAAAAAAAAAAATTTTCCACAACCATTCCATTATAGAGACATGTTGGACATTGAATTGGAGAATATTTAAAAAACTAAAACTAAAAACTTTTCATGACATGAAGAGTTTTTGAAATATAGGTTTCTTTCGAATCCCTTTTTTTTCTTGGAATCATATAGTGAAGTAAAATTTTCACTTTAAAATGAAATATCTTGTTTATACCATGAATTATTCACTATAAGGCTTGAGCTACCTTCTATTGATACCGCAATTTGTTTGTTGTGTCTAAAAACATTCAAATTGATCGAAATTTGAATGTTTTTGACCTGGTTGTTAGCACGATACCCCATATACACCATCGAATCCTCAGTGGTATCAGTCAGAGACTTGATTGATGAAATTCAACAAAATAAGAGTTTTAATATACCTATATAAAAATTTGAGAACAAACAGTTTCTTTAAATATTTTACTTTGCAGATATACTAACTAATTCCATTAAATTCATTATTGACATACAATTTAAAAATAATAAGTGAACCGTATAGAACCGAAGAATTTTTAACTTCTGCAAAAAATATAAAAAATAATAAGATCGCGAAGTAGATTACTATTATTATAGACCTTTGAGCCCAGAAAATCTTGTAACTGGTATAGAAATCAAATCTGTAATAAAGTGAATCAATATCTATATCTTAGATATATGCAAATTGAAGACAACACTGTAAAGGAAGAGTAGGAAGAATATTTGAGTTTTTGATCGATAATATGGAAAGTATCTATTATATAAAACCACTTCACTTTTCTTTGACTAAAAATTTTTCTCGATGTTGAAAGTGTGCAACTCTTGCCAAACGAACGAATCACATAATCCTTCAGGGAGCTACAATTCGCTACAAAATTACGAATCAAGTTTTGTTCTTGACAGCAATTTTACTCTTCACTTTACGTAATTTCGTTGGCCGTTGGCAGCCCTGTTGCCAACAAATTCTACTGTTATTCATGTTACCAAACAACTTACAGTGAATTCGCTATTGCGCGGACCTTCGCACACACACACAGCGACACAGCGACAGAGCGGCAGAGCGACACAGTGATGTAGCGACTCAGCGACAGAAATGTGATCACATTTCTGGTCTGTTGAGTAATAACCTATATAACACCAAGAATCTAAAGGCACTAATGATTTCATAGCGCAGAACACGATTTCGGTAGAGCGTTGCTCGCGTTGAGACTCAAAAACGTGATTGCCTGCACTTAATGAGTTCACAAAATGCCCAACTTCTTTGTGTTAGTGTGCATCTAATTAACGCGTGTTGGTATGTATGTGAGTGTGTGTGTGTGTATATGTGATGTACATGCAAATGTATGCACATTCATCTAGGCTCTCTGTTGCTTGTTTGTTTATACAAGATTGTTTGTTAACGTGTGGCAGGCAAACGGGCACGGGGCGTCATCGCAATGAGGCCAAGAGACTTGCCAATGGATTATCGCTTGCAACTCTGGAACGAAGTGTTTTTCTATTTCTATTTCTATTTCTATTTTTCACAGTAGTTGCCGTTTGACCTAGATTTTCTATTGGGTTAGATGTTGAGACGCATTTCGGCATAATTCAAGTCCAGCACAAATTGATTTGGCGAAGAAATGGGTTTCTAAGACAGGAAATTGTTATTCTGAGCCTGACTTTCCCTCTTTCGTAGTAAATGTAGAATAATTACTATGACGACTGCTTCACATTGATCACTTTCTTATGAAATCTAATGTATAATTATAATATTATTATTGTGATAAATTAAATATAGAAAACAATTATATATAAAGATAGAGAGATATCTAAACTTACATCATCTCACAGGATTTGCTTTAAAATAGATGAATATGCATATATAAAAAACGCATTAAGGTTAGATTAGAATAGGAAAGCGGTTCAAAAAAAAAAGAAAATATATTTAGTTCAAATGGTTCATGGCAATACCATCCAAAAACAATTTTTATAGAAGATGGTAGATAAATAGTAAATATCGGTACCGAATAAATAAAGGCTTCAAAAGCAAGTCTACAGTGATATCACAGTTTTCAAAACTTTTAAAATGCTAATAATCAACTGCAGGTATAGGACCTATAGATATATTTTATAAAAAGTTATGTATCAAAACACAATAACAGGATAATTTCATGGATCAATGCTATTAAAAGGAAAATATTAAGACGAATTCTACAGCCGCGTGAAAAAATTCTGCATAAAAGTTTACACATTAAAACCGGTATCAATGTAAAAAATTGGGCCACCAAACACCGAATGGATTGGAATCAGAAAAACTGTGCCATGAATCAGCTATCTATCGGAAGATGTGGTATTAAAAGATAGAAGAGTGATAAAAGATTAAGATAAAAAATTAATAACGATCGCGGCGCCGATAATGAGAATAATGGTTTTATAATTTTAAAAATGTGTTTTTTACTTGGTAATTAAAAATGTAAAAGTACAAAAATATGTAGTGGAACAGATTTCCATTAGTCAAGAGCAGTGACAACGTGACTCAAAAACTTGCTTCGGGCTTTTACGGGCTATATGTGCGCGTGTAGCTCAAAGCCGCATCCGTAGCGTGGTAGTCAAATTAATTTTAAACAAAAAATGGTAGATAAATAGCAGATACCGATAACAGCCCGTGTTGAAATTATATAAATAAATGAAGCCTTTAAAGCTGAGCCTATGATGATGGCACAGTCTTCACAGTTTCT